TCTTTCATTGTTTCTGATTCTTGTGTGAGACTCAAGTCTTCCTTTGTTGAGTTTAGATCTGCTTCTTTTTGTAAACTTTATGTGCCTTTGTGGTTTACTTGTTGGGCATGAAAAGCTGGTTCGTCTAGGCTTCAGGTTCTCTCTTTTGATTTTATATTGGCGTGGCCAAATTGCTTTCATATTCAGGAGCTCTCACAGAGGCTCAAATCAGATGAGGGTCAGATTCTCTCAGGCTTTCTCTTAAGGTCTGGAATCCTCCAGGAAAGATGCTGCTTTCAGGAATTTGAGGGCTGGGCTGGCCTGGGAGCAAGGCCCAGGAAAGATGCTAGTCTCAGGAAGCTGGTGGCTGTGCCACCCAGGGATGCAAAGGGAGGTGGGGATGGGAAGAGATCCAGAGGGCTTCTGTTGGCTTCTGGGAGGAACTGGCTTGGTCTGGATGCAAAGGAAGCAGTGGGGATTCTGGACCAAGACGTCAGTCCAGGGGTCTGGGGTGCCAAGACAAGAAATGGGCCAGTACCCAGGCTAGGAGGAGAGACAGAGTGGGTGAGCTGGGAGGGTGAATGAGGCTGGGGGGAGTCAAGGCACAGCAGGCTGTGGGACCCACCCAGGAAAGATCAAATTATTCATTTGTTTATTTACTATCTATTTATTTATTTTTGGTCTTTTTGAGACAGGGTCTCCCCATGTAGCCCCAGTTGGCTTGGAACACACTATGTAGACCAGGCTGGCCTTGAACTCAGAGATCCACCTGCCTCTACCTCCTGAGTGCTGGGATTAAAGGCATGCACCACTACCACACCTAGCCATTATTTATTTTTATTATATGTGTATGAATGAATGCCTGCATGAGTTTAAGTGCACCCGTATTGTGCAGTGTCCACGGAAGTCAGAAGAGGTTGTTGAATTCTCTGGAACTGGAGCTATGGATGGTCGTTAGCCACCATGTAGTTGCTGGGATTCAAACCCGGTTCTTCTGCAAGAAAAGCTAGTGCTCTTAACAGCTGAGCCATCTCTCCAGCCCAGAATGTTCAGTTTTAAGATGGGGTTTTCTGGGACCTTTTGTTCACATGGTCATCTACCACCTCTGGCTCTTACAATCCTGGATCTCTTCCGCAATGATCCCTGAGCCTTGGGAGGCAGAAGTTTGGTATAGGAGTCCTACTCAGGGATAAGCACTCTGCAACCTCTTGTTCTATGCACATTGTTCTGTTCTGGGTTTCTGTGTTGATCACCATCTACTGCAACAGGAAACTTCTCTGTTGAGAACTGAGAGCTGCATTAATGGATCTACAAGCATGGAAATAGAAATAGCAAATATAATTGAAGAGTTGTCCTATAACCACGGTATTTCACGCCCACACCTAAGACTTTAACTATAGCTTGTTTTTTTCTCTGTAGCCCAACATCAGGACTCCCAATGGCTAACGAAGCTAATCCTTGCCCATCTGACATTGGTGACAAGATAGAGTATGGGGGCATGGGCCAGGAGGTTCAGATTGAGCACATCAAGACCTATGTCACCCGGTCCTCCATGGATACAGGCAAAGCTGTGATTGTCGTTCAAGACATATTTGGTTGGCAGATGCCTAACACCAGGTATATGGCTGACGTGATCGCTGGAAATGGACACACGTACGTATAAAGTTCTGTTCTTTGCTTATTCATGGAAATTTCTGAGGTCCATCTTGTTACCTTCATAAGGACAAAACCAAAAACCAAACACAGTCTGACCTATGTTCTAGTTTACAGTATCTATTTTGTTATCTCCGTGTGGTCAAGGGAACTGGGACTGTCCTATGAAATTAAATACCCACCTGATGGAGGCAATTACTCCCTGGGCACCAGGTTCCCCTGGGGTACTTGTCCATACAGATCTGTTGCACAGAGTCCTCTCCCCATGAGGGATTCTGCCCAGATACAGGTCAGCACAGCAGGGCTGATTCATGGGACGTAACACTGGGTTCTTGAAGCAACTGAGCCTCAGAGCAGGTTTCACAGACCTAGTGGGAGGACAGGGTAGCCCAAGGTCCTTCTGACCCGACCCATACTGTTGAGGATTTACAAAACGGTGTAATGATCTTCCTTGCTCATCATCATCGTTGCTGTTACCTGGCTCAGTGGCCTTGGCCCTTCTGGTGAAGGCTGTTCCTGCTTGCCTGGCTTTGCTCTGGTGTTGGCAAGCGCTCCAGTGAGTATGGAGGTGAGCAGTTTTCCTTCTTTCCACCCCCAGAAAGCAAGAGCCTCTCTAGTCTGAGCTGGTGCACAACCCGTTCTCCCTGTATCCCCCACCCCACCTGCACCCCCAAAGAAGCTGGAAACCCAAGGCATGTCTTCCTTGTTTCCTCACAGCATCCTGATGCACGCAGTGTGGGATGCAAAGATGACTTGGTTATGTTCCACACATGATCCCAGATCCCATCCCGAGGATGAAGAAACTCCCTGGGGAAAGTCTGGCAATAAGCCAGTAGCCACCCTGGACAGGGACCACAGCCTTTATCCTTGCAGCAGCCCAGGAGGGATGGATGTGGCTTCCCCATACTGCAGAGTGGGAAGCCCTGGGCCACACAGCTGCCAGCTGAACGAGACTGTGTCCTAGTGAGTCCCTAGTGCAGTGAGAACACGACAGGAGCAGAGACCTGGGACAGGCTCATTCCGGCCTTCACCACTCCTTTCACCCTCTAGAAGTCCTCTGGGGCCGGGCAGTGCAGGGTTCTGTCTGCCTGCCAGGTCAGAATGGGGGACTAGACGTGGTCGAGTGACCTGTTCAGGTCTCATCGCAGCACAAGGTGGTACTGAGACTTTAACTTGACCTTTCGGCCAAGCTTGGGTGCTCTGCCCACCTGTGCAGAGAAGCTGGGTTTCCCCAGTGCAGCCAGCGGGCAGCTCTTTCTTCTGGGAACCTGCCATACTGGCTCCATCCCTCCTGGGATGACCTGTGGGAGAATGGCTAGGAGCAAGCCTGACCTGCTCTGTCTGTGGCCTGTTCTAGAACCTGCTGTGGACTTTACTCTAGAGGCAAGAAACTGTCTCTCTGGCAGCCTGGGCAAAGGTCTGGGCATACTACTGGGTCACAGTGACTAGTCACATTCCTCAGGGGTGCCTTTCAACCAAAGCCAGTGTTCAAGGCCAGGAGACTCCTTGGCTGGCTGAGGGGAACAGCTCCACAGGGACAGGGGGGACCTTTGTAGCCACATGCCCTTTGCATGGGTCCAGGTGTCCCCTCATCCTGCACTGGAATAGCTCCTAAGGAGTGTCCCCACTGAAGGCCTTGCCATGTCTCAGGGCATGGTCACACCCAGGCTGCTGAAGGCTGTGCACCTGCAGTTGTGAAGTCTGAGGTGCTCTGGCCTGGCTTCAGCTGGCTTCCTTGCCACAATCAAGTTTGCCTTTCACTTTATGGCATCTGCTTTTCCTTCTTTGTGACCAGAATTACCAACCCAACAAGATGCTCAAAACCAGTAAACACCCAATCTGGGCAACTCTGCAAGGCTGATTGATTGATTCATGCCCATATTTTATAGAACCATCGTCCCAGAATTCTTTGTGGGAGAAGAGCCCTGGGACCCTGCTTGGGACAAATCCACCTTCCCTGAGCGTTTTAACACAGAAAAATGACAGACACATTGATTGGTAAGTTACCAGAGGACATGGTTGTATTTGTGGCACAGCCCAAGGAGGATGGAGATGGGCTGGTCTTCACCATCTGGCTCCTTCTGTTCCCTTCCTCACTCCCTTCCTCCCTCTCTCTGGGGCAGGAATTCAAATGACCCTGGACAAGAGTCCTCCCTACAGTGTGAAGAAAGAGCTTTATTGATTGAGACTGTTGCAGTTGCCATTGTTATCTGTCTAGGGGTATTGTTAGGTTCATTTTACTGGCCAATTAAGGAAAAAATAGGCAGGAAAAATTTCAGACTATCTGAAAGCCACAATCAAACTTTTACTTAAAGATATAGAAGCACATTCATGTACACACATTCATATAGAAAGAGGACATACTCCACAAGTGGAGAGGGAATCGGGAAACTGGAATCCAATATTTCCTGGGAGAATCTGTGTTTTAAGAGTTTGAGTATATTTTCCCTCCCCTATTTTTGGATTGGTTAACTTATGCAAAGAAGAGATGGTCACATCTCCAAGCTGGGATATCCAGGGCTATGTGACTTGAAGCAAGTCAGTTTGAAGAAGGTGCCCCATTGGTGCTAAAAAATAATGCTTCTCTACCAAAGATGAAGCAAGAAGTGTTCCATCTTTATTTTTCCCAGTGACCCTGTCAAGGTCCTTTGTGTTCCCCACTCTGAAGAGTAACCCCAAATCATTTAGGACATGGGTTCAAATTGGGGAACAGATGTAACCCATTTTCATTATGAAAATCTAAAGATCTAGTTCCAAGTTTCTTTTCTGGGAGGGACTGATATCTGGTTTTGAGTCTTTAGTTTCCATCTTCATGTATGGCCACTGGGCAGGGGTGTTGATTGAGGAGGAGATAAAGAAACAAGCTCCATTTTGGAATTTTTGGTTAGAGAACTGAGGACATTTTTGAAATTGCTGTTTTTGGATTGTTGTTTTGGGGGCTGTTGCTTTTGGTTTTAGGTTCCCTGCCCTCAACTGCCTATCCAGTTTCTACCTTCTGGTCACAATCCTCACTCTGAAGGGGTTATTCCAACTGCCAGTATAGGATTGGGGCAACAGTCAGTTCTGGTTTTTTTCCAGCTGAAGGGGCTGTTGGATGTACAATCAGAGTACCCCCCCCCTGCGTGGACCTATTTAAGGGACCCCAAAAAGCATGCAACTGTTAGCTGTAGGGAGGAAAAGAAGTCCTTGACTGATCTGTATTTGGAAAGATTCATGAGGAGAAGTAAAGGCAAGTTACCAACATTACAAGTCTTAGGCAGGAACCAGGAGAAGCCTGAACAGAGGAGATACATTTTCAAATGCTCAAATTCAAGTCCTTTAGAGTCTCCTGGTGAGCTCCACGGGCATCCATATGCTGTCTCCTCCTGGCTTGTCTTTTGATCTCCAAGGCAGGACCCAAGGGTGGTGAACCCCAGATGCGCTTTCAGGTACTTTGATAGCTGCTGGGGTGGCTAGAATTATAGTGTGAGGTCCTTCCCTGATGCCTTCTAGAGAGGGGGAAAGAGAAGTAACTTAGTTATTTAATTTTTAGGTTAAAACAATAGTTAAGTCTATATCTCTTAGCTACAGGTATGCATTGACTGCCAGTATGTTTTAGTGTTGAACTGAGCCAAAGTCTGAAGTCTTATATCTGGGCAGCATTTTTCTTATCAAGAAGAAAATCCTTAGTGAGAAATAATTCTCTAAATAAAAAGTCATATGATTAAGGCTAATAGTCAAAGAGTATAGTCCCTTTGACTATCAAAGACATATACCAATCATTTTGAGTTTTGGTTATACTTTCCTGCTGGATAATTAAGGCCATATAGGTGGCCAACACTAACCATGTTCTTTTTGCTGTCAAGATCAGTTGAAGATCTGGTCCTCAGGGGTGACTTGGGCTGGGGAAAAGCCTTTGGCTCCCTTAGCCTTCCTTTTATCAGCTGTTCCATCTATGTGAGGATAAGTCAAGTGCCTTACTTGACTATGACTCTACTTGGCAGCATTGAGGAAATTTTTCCTCAATGTTGACCCTCTTCTCTGTAGACTGGACACTGGTTTGAGTCTGACAGGTGAGGTCTCTATGGTCTCCCTGAACAAGAGAAAAGGTGACCCCCCACAGTTCCAGGACATTTTGAGAGATGCCTCATAGTCCCCTGAGACCTAGTTGACCCTGGAGGGCAAGGGAGCACATCTGACCACATTAGTATAATGCTCTAAGTATGGTCATTGAACACCCAGATGGTTAGTGACACAAATCTAGTATTTATAATTACTATTTAATAAAGCTTGAGTAAAAACCAAACATTTAAAAATAAAACTTTTGTTCTTCTAAGTGAGCCCTTATAATTGTTAACAAGAATAGATCAACAATTTCATAGATATAAGTAGAAGTTTGACTTAACTGTGATGTTAGAAAAATTTAAGATTATTTGTATATCGTTTGTAAGTCTCATTTTACAAACCTTAAGAAACCTATTCAGATTTTCATCATGTGCATATAATTTTCATGCTTCTTTTCCATTCTGGAAACATCTAGTCCTATTACTCTTCATATGGAAATCATTTTTCACTAAAAATAATTCCAGTCTCACATCCTTTAGCATCGCATGTACTTACTGTTTCTTTCTTATTACCATGAACTTCCTCAGATCCTCCTCACTTACATAGGCTTTCAATTTTTCTTTGATATTCTGGAAATAGCCAGCCATCTTAATCTTCATTCATAAATTCTTCTTTATTAAATTATCTCCATTCTTAGATCCTTTTAGCATCCTCTCTCATACCTCCCTACTGTTCCTTCTTAAAATTGTGAGACATAATGACAGAATAGTTACCATATTTTGTCAGGACTTTTTGTTGGGGTTATTAAGCAATATTGACCCTTTTCTCATAAGGGTCTAGTGAGAAATCAATATTTGATTCCATTCAAGTTCACCTTGGAGAACCAATTAAGTTTTCTTTCAATGTATATTTTGATTGAGTTTTTGTGCATTTCATACATCTTAATCATATTTAGACTTCCTTTCTTACCTATACCCCCCACCATAGCCCACCCAATAGATTTCATACATTCTGTGATATATGTAAAGGCCTATTGAATCAAGTTTGTGTACCCAGATGTCCCTTGGTGTGAGTTCATCCACTGGAGCCTGTTCAGCCTGTCTAGAGTCACTCCCTTAAAGAAGGTCAATTCTCCCTCACCCAGCAGTGATCAGCTGCCAATAATTCCTTGGTTAAAATTGGGGTCTCTTGCCCATTTCCCCAGGTCTGTGATGGATTTTTGTCTGATTGGATTTGCATGGGTCTTGTGCATGCTGTCACCATTGCTGTAAGTTCATATAAGCATGGTCACAGGAGCCGGGAAAACTGTTTCCTTGTGGTCATCTACCATCCCTGGCTCTAACAATCCTCCACCCCCTCTTCTGCAATGGTCCCTGTTCTGGTTTGTTTCTCCATTCCTGTGACAAAATACTCACTTGGGGAGAAAAGGGTTTATTTAGCTTACATATCTCAGGTCACAGTTCATCTGGGAGCCCAAGCTAGGAACTCAGGGCAGGAACCTGGAGGCAGGAGCTGGAGTACAGGCCATGGAGGAATGCTGCTTACTGGCTTGCTCTCCTGGCCCCTGCTCAGCCTGCTTTCTTATGCAACACAGGCCCACCTGCTCAGGGATGGCACCACCTACAGTGAGCTGGGCCCTCCCACATCACTCAACAATCAAGAAAGCACCCATGGACATGGCCACAGGCCAGTCCAATGAAGGAAATTCCCCAATTGAAGCTCCCTCAACCCAGGTGTGTCAAGTTGACACTAAAGCTATCCAGCACAGTCCCTGAGCTGTGAGGGTGGATGAGATCTAATATAGGAATCCTATTCAGGGACACACACTCTACAGTCTCCTAATCGATACACTTTGGCCAGTTGTGGCCTTCTGAGTTAATCACCCTCTGTTACATGAGGAAGTTTCGCTGGTGAGAGTTGAGGGGTGCCTTAGTGTTCTCTCTGCTACTTGTTTCACTATGTCCTGTGAGCCTTAGGTGTAGAGGTTCCATTGTAGATGTGTCACTGTGGCTGGGCATCTCCTAGACAATTACGCTGTGTGTGACCAATTGTGGAAATCTGTAATGTCTCTATATGTTGGAAATAGAAGCTTCTTTGGTGAGTGGTGACAGGCATACTTGTCTGTAAATTTTAGGATACATACTGAGCATACAGTAAGAAATGATGCTTGTCTAGGGATGTGACAGGTTTTCTCTAGGCCTTATGATCTCTCCAGCCATGTGTATTTGGCTATGTTTATAGTACCACACATGAGTTTCCTCCCACTGAGAGGGCTTTAAGTCCAATTAGATAGCTGTTGATTATCCCCAGGATAAAAGTGCCACTACTAAAACCAATGTAGTTTGTTGTGCCAGACATTGTTATGGTTATTAGGCTTTAAAGCTGGGGTTGGACCATTTATTGATTTTCTCCCTTAGCAACTTGCACAGTATCCTCTAAAACTATGAGAGTCAGTTTTCGGGGCTTCCTGGTTAGTTTCAGCTCCAGTGCTCCGAGTTTTGTGTCTGGAGTATGTCCTATCGTCAGCAACAGGGTCTTACCTTCAAGTTCTGGAAGACAATCAAGGGCTGTGGCAATAGCCTGTGTAATTTTGGGAGTCTTTTGGACTACCCTGACCAACAACTCAAAGTGAGGTTTCTCCTGTCTGGCACTGTGTTTCTTGTTATGTAGCCTTAGCTATACACATACACTCATATATACAGATACTGTATGTGTTTTTTCAGTAGGGTTTTGAATGAGCACACTTCCCTCTGATTTTTCATATCACCTCAGTAGTATTTCTCTCTACTCTCTCTTCCTGTCTAAAGTACCCACATGTAGTGGTTTGAATGAGAATGTCCTCCATAGGCTCCAAGTATTTGTACAATTTGTCCCCAGTTGGTGGCACTGTTTTGTGAGGCCTTATGAGGTATGGCCATGCTGGAAGAAGCATGTCTTAGTTTGTTCTTCATTGCTGTGACAAAACACTCTGACCAGTACCAACTTGGGGAGGAAAGGGTTTATTTGTCTTACATCTCCCAGGTTGCACGCAGTTCATCAGGGAGCCCAAGGTAGGAACTCAGGGCAGGAACTTGGAGGCAGGAGCTGGAGCACAAGCCATGGAGGAACGCTGCTTACAGGCTTGCTCCCCTGGCCCCTGCTCAGCCTGCTTTCTTATGCAACACA